CACTGTAAAACTTTTTCGTGATTTTACGAAAAATTAAGTTACGAATTGATTCGTAAAAATTAATTTACAAACATATTTCGTAAGTGCCAATTTACGAAAACATTTCGTAAAGTGACGAATACATTTTGTATCGAATGCAATTTTTTGGGTCGTAAGACATAAAATTTGACTAAAATCTTTAGAATTTTTATACCCTTTAGTTAGAGCTCGGGATTTTACAAAGCAAATTCGTAAAATAACGATGTATCGTAATTTGTTAGAAACGAAGTTTACGTAATAGAAAATTAACCGAGAAAATGTCGTAAAATCACGATAATTTTCTTTACAGTGAAAGAATTGTGACCGCGCTGTATCGTCTATCACCATATCACCGTTTGTTTTACGGCTTGTTTACAATCCGGCGTCCTCCCTGTGTTTAGTTTATTAGTAGCGGGGGCTCAAGCGGAGAGAGCGGGTGGGGAGGGGGGTAGGCGGGGGTTGGCGCGGCCCGCTCGCTCGGCTCCGGCGTGCGGCGACGGAAATTGAGCCTCACTTCACTGCCTCAGCCTCACTATCCCCCCTAGCACAATATTTAAGATAGCTGGCCCTGCTTTCGCTTCTCTGTCCTAACCGAGAGTTAAAGCAATGACACCTTACTTAAATATTCTTATGTTTACTTATATTAAGTCTCAGTTAAGTAAGGTTTGTAACGTATCATCTGCTAAAAATATACCAAATGAGCTCGTCAATTCGCCTACCTCCCAGGGACCAAGAAGTGCGTTTTTTAGGATCCAACTATTTTGTTTTTTAGTTTGTAGAGCGCTAGTGTGGCCTGAAGCCTATCCTTCGGGCTGGCTTGAATGCCTACATGTCTGAAGAATCCCAAACGATGAAATGCGGCCTTCGCTTGCAGATTGCCTACTCCCCAGGGGCACATATGTAGTGGTATTTTCAAAAATCTGCATCTACGCCGTGACCTCGATAGGTCCTGGGACTCGGATGTGACCCCTTGCCCTCTATAGGCTACAAACATCACTAAGGGACCACACAGTGAACTGGAGAAATTTTTGTAATTTATGAATTAATATGTAATATTAATGTGTATTATTACATTTCACTATCATTACCTAGACAATGAATAGGTTAATTTCACACAATTACTGTAACTGGGGGGCTCTTACGTATTCGTTCGCCTCATAACTGAATAAAATTTGTGATAAAGAACGTCATTAACTCATTTTCAAAAAAAAGAAAAATAATTCGCAGCCCCTGCAGAATAGGCAATTGATGCAAATATGCCTCCAATCCATCCGTTGCATCTATCTGTTGATGCGAGGACCCCGAATTGGCCAAGGCGTTACGACTGTGAGTCTGGATCCAACAGCATACCGATGAAAGTGCGATTTCTGGTAAATATCACACTATATTCGATTCCTGGGAGGTAGGCAAGTCGTCAAAAATTTATCCAGCTCACTGTGTGGGTAAGTACCCTATAGAGGGCAAGTGGTCACATCCGAGTGCCAGGACCCATCGAGATCACGGCGTAGGTGCAGATTTTCGAAATTACCACTATATATGTGCCCCTGGGGAGTAGGCAATCTGCCCGAGAAGGCCGCAGTTCATCGTTTGGGCTTCGTCAGACATGTAGGCATTCAAGCTAGCCCAAAGGATAGGCTTCAGGCCACACTAGCGATCTATAAACTACACAACACACTAGTTGTGGGTCCGCCTAGTAGGTAGGCAACCAGTTCTCTGCTCCTCGTACGTGAGCGATGGGGGGGGGGGGGGAGTCGCTTACAGTTAAAAGCACAGTTAAAGTCTTACGAAGCAAAATGCCAAATGCTTCGTACCTACGAAGGATTTGCCCCTTACGAAGCGTCCAAATCCTTTGTATTACAAAGGATTTGGCATTTTTCTTCGTAAGACTTTAACAGTGAGGGGGGCTTCTTAAATGTGTGTGTAACCACAGTTCATTTACAGAACATGTCTTCTACTGTCCCTTCCTATCCCCACTGCCCTCCCCCTACCCAACTTACCCTTTTCTGTATATTTCATTTTAACCAAATCCATTAATTTGTGAAAGGTCTTTAATTTAATTTCAAAATAAATGTAAACTTTTCTCCTACGACAAGTATAACTTGTCACTCTTTCATTCATTTTTGTCAGATCTCTCCGAGGAATTTGAAGGATCACGAGTCCCTGAAGTATATTTAATTGAATGTTCTACAACGTATCGTATCATTTCGAAGTTACCACTATTTCATTTGATTTCATTTGACATAATATGACTTCAGAAAAACTAGTCAATTCAAGAAAATGATATACCTTGTTCTGATATCGATGGGCCTATCCTTCCTAAGTTTGCGATATTGGCTATAATATTGTTCGGTCCCTTGCAAGTCTACGGCAATTGAGAAAAGAAGTTGTCTGTTTAATAATCATTTTGACATGTCCTATTGAAAGATTAGGTGACTTCTAATTATTCTACAAGTAAACACCATAACATTTAGTTGAAATTAAAAGAATGAAAAATTAGAGAAGTTACGAAATTAAAAGTGTAATACAAAAGTTGGATTCCTTTTTTGAAATTAAAAAGGAAATGTCCTATGCTCAAAGCCGATCAGAGGCCAAATGGGAAAGTTATTAGCCCCCAAATTGGTAAAAGTGTGCAAAAACGACCAAATTGCCAATTTGGAGGACAATAACTTCACCATTTCGATTCCGATCATCTTGGATCATAAAACATTTCCGATTTCTTTTGTCGAGATGAACCCGAAACAGTAAAAGTATAGAACAGTGACTCAGAGCCGATGAGTCACTCTTCTATACCATTGGAAATGTACCCTTGTAAAATCAAAACAGACCTTAGGGTTCTAGGCGCACTCGACCTCTTACTATTACGGAAAAGTTAGTTCTTACGTCAAAATCTCACAAAATTGGGATATTTAATGTAAACTTTTCCAGTTCTGTTTCGCACACTCTGAAGTGTTAACCCTGACAGGCGTTACAGGGAAATACGATTTATGGCGGTAAGGTCCGGTAACGTCCCATTCCTGAAGTTTGTCTTAATGCTCGAGGTTCATTAAAATTCATGTAGTTGAACATCTTGTAGTGCGATGATGGCTGATATATTTTTCATTTACCAACCTGGCTGGCATGACGAATCAAATCACAGAGAATCTCGCACTTACAGCTTATATGCATACAGACTGATAAAAACAGCATGTCGTAACCACCTGTAGTGACAAAAAGAGAGAAGAGTTGAGGCGTGTGTGCTGACAAAACAATGTTGCTAAGGCGCATACTTACGTGGGTTCTAAAGAGTTTTCAGTAAAGTAACTGAACCTATTTCAGATCAGCCTTTTGTTCGGATCAATAAGACCTATACACGCTCCCTCTCTAAAATATATGAGTTTTATTTTTTTGTGTGCGGTAAGGCTTGTCGTTTTCTACAGAAGATACCATCGCTTCGCTTCGCCCTGGAGCGGCCCGCGCGGCCGAGTTGAACATTGACATTCATCGTTTAGGAGGTGGGAGAATGCTATGGTTTCCTCAAATTGAGATAACTTGGTATGTACGCCTAAATTCGCGCCAACCCAGGTAATCTTTACTTGACGGCCCAGAGAACACATTTCAAACGTGGATTCGATCTAATATCACGTCAGGTTAAAGCGCGGGTAGGGGTCAAAACTAACAAATTCTTAGGTCGAGTTTTGCGAGCAGCTTCGATTTAATGATGGTCGAAAGTGTTTTTGCGCTCACTATTACTATGTTTTGTCACGGAAGGGGCAAAGGCCCCATGGGAACACCCACATCGAATCCACATAGCTGGGACGTGGTCGAACCACCTCGACACGACGTGGATGATCGAGTCGATCATCCAGTGCCAAACGGTAGTAGATTTCACGTAGAACCAACATTGATCAGTCCGCCCCTACACGCTGTTTCGACGTAGAATGATCCTGGCATCCCCGTAACAGCAAAAATAATTTTAGTAGTATGGCGCCAGTTAAAATTTTATTTACTTTTTTAAGGATTTAATTTTGTTTGTACTTCTTTGGTTAGAGGAGACCCTCTGAATACTTCATTCCAACAACTTCTAATGAGAACTCGATTGATACCTTACCGGGAGTTGAACCTGGGACCTGCTGCTCCTTAGTTGACGCCTCTAACCACGACGCCACCGTGACAACTTAGCGAGGAAGCCGACTGAAACCTATCTCTATCTAGAAGGATCTGTCTATCTCAACCACGTTGCATCCACATGGATTCTACGAGTGCAAAATTCAAAATGTCTGGACCAAAGTAGGAACCAAGTTATTGGACATCATCAGCTTCAAACCTGGTGAGAACATTACGTGGATGCTATGCGAAAGGACCATGTTCGAAAACGTATATATTGATGAGAAATGTACAAGACCATAATGATTAGTGAACGTTGCGTCGATGTCGACAGAGCCTCTCTTCGCCCACATTCCTAGATCAACAAAAATGAAGAAGAGATGTGAAGTTGACGCATCAATATAGGTCACATCATACGTTGATCTATGTACATGTCTCGTAGACGAATAGACATTGACAAAAGAACGATACATCTACGTGGAAACGACATATTTCGCATCGCTAAAAACCGTCTAGTTTACGTCTACGTGGATCAGATGTATAATCATCGAGAGGGAGTGGCAAGTAACAAATCGACGTGGACTGCACGGTGAATAATCTCCATAGTTCAGTCCACTCGAGTTCTACGTTGATTCCACCTTGAGGCTAAAGGGATAGATCTACGTGTATGTATCCACGTAGTACACGTTGAGTCCACGTAGAGAGCCTATTCTGTTCCCATGGGGGGGGTGCTTTTGGATCCATACTTGTCATCCAGGACAGTACAGAACCATATTTTCCGTTTCGCTACATTTTATGTCGATTTAGTCAGAAATACCTATACATAATCTCGATGTCTCACAATAGGCATTCCAGATGGTCGAGAATATGACGTGTTCTCGTGTTTGAAAATAATTCTACGTAAAAACTACACTATTAAAAAAAACTGTTGTTAAATACGGTAGACATACGGTTCTTACTGTATTTTATTTTACGGTCGGTTTTGTAAATTATTTTACAGGCTGGACAGAATTTATTTTTATGGTCGGACCGTTTTGTTTTTACGGTCTTACCCGTACTTTATTTAACGGTGACATTTCGTACAGTTCTAGACTGTATTTTAGAATACGGTCGGACTGTATTTATTTTTACAGCGTGGTCTGTTACGGACTGGGCAGTTTTCGGGCAACGTTTGTAAAACGGTCCTTCCAAATACCTTAATTTGAGTGTGACTCTGCGTAACGATCTGCCCACTTTGTGCCGTTTACAGTCTAGACCGTAATTTTAAATACGGTCCTGACTGTAGCGGGCCGGACCGTAAAATTAGGTACAGTCCGACCGTAATCTGAAATAAGGTTCGAACTGTATCAGACTAGACCGTAAACTTAAATACGGTCCGAACCGTAAAAATGTATACAGTAGGCGCTCGTTATAGTTCCGCCTCGGGTTCAGAATTGGAGTGGGTGAGTGGGGTCGCCAGAGGCGGAACTATAGCGAGCGTCTTCCCCCATACTCCTCTACCGCTCTCGCTCACACTGCTGGCCGGCTGGCAGCCCGGGGGGAAGGTGGTAGGGAGGAGGAAGAGAGGGGGGCCGCTTCTCGCTTG